TCTGCTAGGACTGCAGCTCAAAAAGATAAGAAGTCCTTCTGACAAACAAAGCAGCAGCAGCTGTCTCTTGGATGGTTAAGATAAAGAATGAGCAAATATCAGAGCTAATACAATTCAATCAGTTTTCAGGCATTTCCCCATTCTCCCCTTTCCCTCCCTTCCAAAAGGAGAGGAACTAATGGAAGTCCCTGCTGAGCACTGGGAAGGTGGCAGCATTTGCCTGGCTGTCTGGCACCTCATGCCATACTGCACAGCTTAGCTATGCATGGAGAAAACCTGCTGTGGGCCACATGGTTGTCCTCCTACCCTACGGTAAAAGAATTATTTGTTAGTTAAGATCTGTTCATGACAAATTTCTGCTGCTTTTTTCCACAAGACTTAGTAAAGGCAATCCCTGTGTCTTCGGTCAGTTCTGGCCTCCGTGTGCTCTCATCTCCTCCACAGGCTGATCTCCTTTTTTTTATTCTTTTCCACTAGCTATTGAGGAGGCCACAGGTGACCAAAGCTGAAGAAGATTTTTGTCACTATGTCCTCTCCAGATAGTCAGCTGCCCAATATGAGGCAGGCAGTATGGAGAGATATGATTTTTCATGCATAAAAAAAGTAATAGTAAAAGAAGGCTTTACCCTTTACCCATGAAGAGTGACTAACTAGGAGAAGGGCATGGCAGAGTAATCCTATAATCCTCTCCAGATTTCTACTGGGAGACATTTTGTCCTAAAGATCAGCACAGGCATAGAAATAATGCAGAGTAATCAGTCTCATCTTCCCCCAGCCCCCATCCTTGCTCCTGGCTATTAACAAATTAACAACATCTTCCCAAGCTTTTGCATGAGACTTACTGTGTCATTGCTTTAAAAAAAGAAAGAAAAAAAGACTAATCTCTGCCTCACTTCTTATCATTCCCTATCTTCGCCCCCTTTGTTATTACCAATGAGTCATACTTCACCTTTTCCTTAGTCTGCAGCTCCCACACTCCCTCCTCTGCTGGCTTTCCTGACACCCCTCGCTCCTGGAGTGAATCCTCTGCTCCTCTGCATGAGAAACTTCAGTTTCCAAAACCATATTTTAAATTCAGGTCTTACGCAGGGTTGCATCCTATTGTCCCAAAAATAAAGATGGCCCTTATTTCCTCCCTACATGAGCACCACTGATAAAAATGCTGATCTTACCGGGTTTTTTTAACAGTTCACTACTATGCATGCTGACAAGGCTTTGGTAAAGGTATTTTTTAACTGATTCAGTACAAACGCCACATTTTATGGAAAAAAGTATTTGTGATAGATATACACAAAATAGAAATGCTGAATTCGTGGCTGCAAATACTCACTTTGGATTTGCAGCTTGTCTGGTGATTTAGATGTGGGTTTTCATCGTGGTAGAGATCTTCAAAGGGGTGTGAAATCACAGGACAAACTGTTGCTTTAATCACAATTAGACTTGCTGCTAAAACTTAATTTGCAAGAACATTTGCTGCAATATGAGAGCAACAGCGTAACATGACAAAATAATACAAATGCACTTTTGTGGGAATAAAGTGAAATCAAGGAAAAAAGCAGTGCTGGTGAGGAGGTGAAGGCCATGAATCAATAGCCTCCAAAAGCAATGAAACTACTGTGAGTGATGCTAACAGCGTGTGCAAAATCCATAAGAACAGAACCTGTTTCAGAGGAACGTGAGAATAGTTCTCCAAATTCATCCCTGAGTCTGTTGTGGGATTCAGCTGATTTCATGATAGTCATTAAGTAGGAAAATCATTTGTCACTCATCATTTAATATCTATAACATTACCTACTAAATCAGTGTGAGACAGATGAAATGATGTTGAGAATATTTCCATTTTTTGGCAACATTCATTCATACTGTTTTAAAAGTGTGCTGAAGTGGGGAACTTGTGTTTGTGAAGTTCTCCCCATAGCATTAGTTTGGGGTATTCCTCTTATTTTAGTCTGAAATTGGGCATCTGAAAGTTATTTGTGAAATTCTGTTTTCCAAGTGAGTGAATATATACACTTAATTTTAAATGCACATTGTGGAGAAGTCGTGACTATCTTTTGGATACTGTAGAACAAGGTAGTGTAGTGGATGTCTGCTCACATGTATGGTCCTAATAAAGCAAAAGTACTTGGGGTCTGGTGCAAGAGATTCTGCTGCTCTATTGTTCTTTATGATACCAATAATCATGAACACATTACTAGTGTAACTGGGAGCATTAATGATATAGGCCTCAAGTTACACAGTTCTTTCTTTACTTCTATATATCGAGCTTGATCGTATGGTGACCATTCTCCCATCGTATGACCTTGGACATTGCGCTGCATATGCTAGACAACTGGAGTGGGAGCTTCAGCCTCCTATTCCTGCCTGGAAAATACATTCTTGTCTAGAAGTAGCACTCCATGCAAATAGAATTACCTATTTTATATATATGTACCTAAAAATTACTTCTAGAGTTAATTTTGAAAGAGCTGATCTGATGATGATATTTGGCTACAGTACTTTTTTGGCCAGATCAGTTTCCTATCCTAGCCATTTATGCTGCCACCACAAAGGGATGGAAATATGCAGCCAGGGATGTGGGAATTGGGACTCCCATGTCTGACAGCAGCTGTCTCTTTGCTTGGCTTAAAAGGACTGGGAAAATGCACTTTTGGTAACTGGTGTCTTCAGCACCAACCAAGCTAATTTTATTTGGGCAATTAACATGTCCCAGAGGACTTAATATGAGCCTGGTGCCAGCTAGTCTGAGACTTACTTGCGTTCAGTTATGTCACACTAAAGATATGAGGAATTCCAGTGATCAGTTAAGAGTCTGCTGAACTGATCAGATCTGAGACGCTAACTCAGTTGGCCCTTGCTTGCTCCAAGATATGGAGGCCTAATTTTTCACAATTAACAGTCACTGAATGTTTTGTTAACATAGGCAAAACTGTTTGCTTTCTTTTTCCTGTTCCCCTCAATCTGATTTTCAGAAATGTCCAGAGCATATTAGCTCTGTTTTTCCAAACAAAACAATAGCATGAAGAGTTTCAGTCCAATCAGTTAAAACTTGGGAGAGTTTTTAACCAATTGTAAGGTCCTAAGTGGCAGACAGCTGTGGTTCTTCTGCTTCTAGGGTGTCATGTTCATAGCACATCAGTTTTTGTTCTGTTGAGTTGGAGATTATCTTGTACGAATCCAGAAAGCATCTCATGGATTGTTGTACACAGAAAATTAAAAGAGTGATAGAGCTGTTGAAGATACAAGTTGGTATTGTTAGGACAGTCACCTGCTCTCTAGACTGGGGAGACCACTCATCCTAGAGATGAGGGTATGTATGTATCCTTCCAGCCAACACATCACAGCAGCATTTGGTTTCCTCCTTTTTATCATTGCTCAGGGTAGAAGCAGTGTTTCATGGCTCTAAAGGACTTCTTAACCTTGGCAGACTGTGGAGGAATTGTACCTAAGCTTTCTTTGCCTGGTGAAGACTCTGTTTGTGTGGGACCCTTGTAGCTAGAAATATGGGAAAATACAAGAGCCTTTATTTTTGTTCAGTCCTACCACTCCCTGCTTCTCAAAACCAGCATCAAAATCTGGAAAATGAGGACTCTCAGATGGTGCTTGCGCAGCTGCTGATACCTGAAAGGCTTTGAAGTTGTGTCCTATGTCCAATACGGCCCTCTCAAGGGTGTAAGCCAAAGTTAGGCAGTTCACAATGAACAAGGAAACTGTGATTAATGAGCTTCCCCGTGAAGAAATACATGGATTTCTTTCAGAGAAATGTAGGTGCTCATTTCATTTAAAATGTGTTTTATAAAGATGTAATGACTCCTGTTGAATGCTTTCAGGATGCATATAATATGTTATATGATGTGCTCCAAAGCAGTTGGAGTTGGCCTGCTGTGAACCATAGTACTGCTCTGGAGAAGGTAGTGTTGGCACATACCTTTGAAATGAACTGAATTCTGCTGCCTAGTGCAGCCTAGTGAGTTTTATTTAGAAATAAAGATGTGTGTGCTACCCTCAAAGGTAATTTTTGTCTCCCTTTGAAAAGTTTCCATGCTTAACTGTCTCTTTCTGGGGCAATTAAACCAATCTTGTAGACAGCAGCCTCCTTCCTCCAGCACTGCATGACTCATGCTATCGTGGCTGCTCATCTCAGGTGCAGAATCTTGTGAAATGCATTTTTGACTATCTAAATGTATGACATCCACTGATTTTGCCTTATCTGCTATGACAGTAATATCTTCTCAAAATGCCAGCAAACTGGTTAAGCAATACTTCCCAGTCCTGCAGCCCCTACTTCCATAGATTACTTTAATCAAATTGTTTGTTTAGCAGATTCTTTAATTACCTCCTTAAAATAGTTCCTTTGGGCTTCTTCATACCCGATATTGAAAGTACTAATCTGTAGTTTCATGCTGTTATTTGGTTTTTGTCTATTTGTTTGGTTGGGTTTTTGTTTTTAAAGAAAAATTTCATTTCACTCTTCTTTCCATCCTCAGGACTCTTGTAAAAAAAGTTAGAGAAAATGTAATACTTTGCCAGTTTCAATCTTGATGATTGTTACTTCTGAAATATGTTGCTTTATTTTCTTCTAAGCAGAATTCTTGTATTTATATATGCCCACACACACGTATACATTTGCATCCTTGCCCTGTCTGCATTGCAAATTCACCTCAAGTTAGGCAAAAAATTCAACCTTCTTTCTTTTTAGGTACACAAACCACATAGTGTGTAGCCGTTAGTTGATCTAATCCCCAGTGTAAGTGCTTTATGCTTTTTTTTCAGTCATACTTCTCTATTTCATGGCCCTGTTAGCTCCTGTAAATATACATGAGAAAACCTTTAACGATAATGGTTTTGTTTATCAGTATGAGTATTCATTATTTGGTAGGAATTCTCCAGATATTGTAGAGAATAACCCCTGTTTTGAACCTTGTAATGTAATTTTCAGAAATTTGCTAACTATTTTGTTATGAACAGGAGCCGATGAGTAACAGAGGAATGTTTTGCAGGTTATGCCTCCTTGTCCAGGATGCCTATGGCATGTTCAGTGAAGTGCAGCTGCAGTCCTTGAGTTCTGCAGATGACATTGAGCAGTACTGCAGGAGATGGGAAGGAAAATTCTGCTGCCTATCTGGAATGAAAGTTTTGCAAAGAACCACAAGAGGAAGGTGAGAACGATTCATGGGAGAATGTACTGCTTGCTGTGGCAGGCAGAGATCATCTGCCTTCTTATTTATTTCTGTGATCAATATTCTTTGGAAAAACTGAATCGGGCTTTGTTCAATTAAATGTCCTCGTTGCCATTTTTGAGGCATCCAATAGTACCTGACCCAACCATACTCCAAAATGAGCATAAATAGGCTAACACACAAATACACGCTTAGCAGAGCAAGCGACCAAGAAGAATTACGGTATGCAATATTTAATAAAAGATGAGTGTTTTCTTCCTCTTCAGTGGATTCAAAACCTTAAAAACATGAGTTCACTTCCCTTTCATTGCAGAACTGTTTATTACAGTATGTTTTTCTACTGTGCTGCCCAGTCAGGGTTGAAGATTCAAGCACAAACTCTTCCTTAGTATATGAGAGCTTAATTCAGTTAACTCTATATGGTTTTGTAAGCACAGTTTAACTTTCTTTAGAAAAAATAATTCTTGCAAATTGTAAAGCCATTCTTATTTCAGAATAAGAATGTCCACAGGTTTATAGACAAAGCCCCCCAAGTAAGTAACAAATTGATGTATGGTACCTCTCAGATTTTTGCTTATTCTATGATTCCTTTTACATTCTTTGTATAAAATAAAATATCTTTAATCAAGGAAAAAAAACTTTAAATAGTTATCTTACGGAGTATCTTTCTAAGGAAATCTTTATGGTGTTCACATGGGGACCTATGTAAATATAATTAGATTGGTTCAATTCTCAACATAATTTATTTGTACAAGCATCTGATCTAGATAAGCCTTCAGTATTACAATGGTTATGATATTTCTGCTGACACTTTTTTTTCCTGTTGAAAAATGCTGTTTCATCAAAACCAGAATGTTTCATGGAAACATTATCTATTTTGGAGACAACTTTGTTGGGAAGATTTTTTCAGGTCCAGAGGGAGTGAATACTCTCTCTCATTCTCATTTCATGAAAACTTTCAGAAAGTCTCATTTTTGTTTCATATTGGAACAAAAACAAATTTCAAAGCCTTGAAATGTTTAGCAAAATGGAATTGTTGTTTTCCAGCCAGCCCTATTCAGTATGCTTTTCTTTTTATGTACTTGCAGTGTTAATTTTCAGATCCTTTGGATTTCAAGCCTACTTGCATTTTTATGGATCTTTAATAACAAACACGTCTTCTTATTTAATTATTTTGTTGGCTTTTTTTTCAAGTTACATTTTTTCCAAACAAATTAAATAATGGCGTTGGAATTCTGGATACAAATGAAGTTTTACAACTGGCTGCTGGTGTTTCCAGTACTCTGCCTAGCTAATAAGAGACAGACTTTTTCTAATGTAAATTGTGTTTCAAAGCAGCAGTAACTTACTTCTGGCTATTCTGAGGACGATTAGAAGACACACTGCTGAAAATGCTGGTGGCTCAGCTGGAGCTGTACTGGTGGTAACCCTGCTAAGAAACTTGAAAAGAAAAAGGCAAGCGTAGCTTCAGGGACAGTGCAGTGCTTAAAACGTGATTTCGTTGTACAAGATGGGTGGGTGGGGGAATTGTTCAAGGATTTATTTTTTCTTAATTGTTTTAGCCTAAGTTCTGCTTTATAACTTGTTACTTTTAAGTGTTGGGACACGTTTTGTGTCATTCTAGGTGTGATGGAAACCACACTAAAGCCATAGCTGAAATTAATATAAGGGAGTACTTACTCACACAGAGCATAATTAGACTGTAGAACTCATTGCCACTGGATAAATGGGTTTCCAGAGACAGTGGAATATCCGAGCACATGATGGGATATGCCTGTAAGTGCCTAACCTTGGCTTGCAGCACATGAGTGAATAAGAACTATGTGGTCTGCCCTGCAAGAAAGACTGCTTTTTTTTTTTTTTTTTTTTGAAAACACCAATTACTTTTTGGAAGGAGATGGCTTTTAAACCATTTGTTTCCTGGAGTCCAACAGTGGCTTTTAAAATGGATAAAAGGGAAGAAAATGTAGGAAATATGAGGGAAAAGTAATGACTTTTTTTTTTATTTGTGCCTTTGAAGCACATGATCTGGAGAAAGCCAGGAATGGCTAATAAGATCCCATACATGCATGTTGTACCCCAGTTACATGGACTGTAGTCTCTCTTACAAAGAGAGTGCTTCCTCAGTCCTTCTGTGAGACAGGACATTTGCATTTAACAAATACAAGAGGTTCTCAAGCTTTTTCCGTCAATGGATAACTGTTGTTAAAAAAAATTCCAGTCCATCATCCATCCTCATCATCAAGTATTTAATTTAAAGTGCTATTTAACATCATTCCAGTAAATGCAATTTTTAAATCACTTTTGTAAGCTGAAGTTGCATTTCAAGGACTAAAAACCTATAATACCATTGTATTTTATATCCAGGCAAAAACCTGCCTGTAAACCTGACTTGATCTTTGGAATGGACCTGTACTGTAAAATGTGCTAATGAAACTAAACCCCATACATACATGCATTACCCACCTTACATGGACTGTAGTCTCTCTTACAAAGAGAGTGCTTCCTCAGTCCTTCTGTGAGACAGGACATTTGCATTTAACAAATACAAGAGGTTCTCAAGCTTTTTCCGTCAATGGATAACTGTTGTTAAAAAAAATTCCAGTCCATCATCCATCCTCATCATCAAGTATTTAATTTAAAGTGCTATTTAACATCATTCCAGTAAATGCAATTTTTAAATCACTTTTGTAAGCTGAAGTTGCATTTCAAGGACTAAAAACCTATAATACCATTGTATTTTATATCCAGGCAAAAACCTGCCTGTAAACCTGACTTGATCTTTGGAATGGACCTGTACTGTAAAATGTGCTAATGAAACTAAACTCATTTCTTCTCCCGATAAGAAAATACTTGTGTTCCAAAAGAAAAGTGGGATAAGAAGTTACATAACCATGTCCTGTCTTAACCAAGATCAACCCTGTGAAAAATTAGAATTATAGTAATCTTACATTGAGAGAAACACTGTTAATGTTGAATATTGGTTTTTAACACCCATGTGCTCTAACAAGTATTATGGTCTTGTACAAGGTCATTTGAAGGTCTTTCATTGATTTTGAGGTGGTTTTGAGAACAAGTCCCATACCCCGCATAAAACATACTCCCCAAAACCATCTCTGCAAGAAATCCTTCTCTTTGTAGTCCGATAGAGGAAGTGATGTTTCCCTTTGCAGTCCAGTTCCTGGCAATTCTGTAACACGGATGGACACGGCTGAGTCACAGCACAGTTGCTATGGCTTGTCCGCTGTCTTTTTTCTAGCAGTTCTTCTAGTCTGTAGAAGATACTGTAGCAGCTGTAACCAGTATTGTAGCAGCTGGATTAACAGCATGTATGTGGTTCAATATCTGTTTCTTGACACCTTTTCTCTTCACCCTCTCATTCATATTTGTCTCCTTGCTTTTCCTACAACTGTTTTCTGAACTGCACACTTAATATCATCAGAAAAGAAGAGAGAGAAGGTTTAAAGAGAGAAGACTGAAAAATGTTCATTGATCTGCTGGTGATGGTGTTGGCTCCTTAAAGGTGTATGTTCTTGCTCTTGTCCTCCCACTACCTCATATGTCAGTCTTATAAATTCAACCCCTTGAGAAAGAGGAAGTGAGATTTTGATGGTGTAGAGCTAGAGGCAGAAATTTTGGTCAAGAATCTGTATGCAGTACAACTCAGATGTAACCTCTCCTATTTTAAGAGATCCCAGGCATGTTTCAGGTATGTCTGGTATAACCAGTAACTAAATGGATGCAATTAGATGCAGGGACTGAGCACTCACTAAAATGCCTCAGGAGTAATTAACCTATAAATTGTCATAGTCTGCTGCTTCCTACCAGAAATTAATTTCAATGAGCTGGGATAAACTTTGTAGTTAGATACCTGCCTTTATTGACAAAAATACTTTTATGTTTTTAGCCCTGACTGGAGTTCCACATGGAATAATAATGTGGATTTTGAAAATTTGTGGTTTTTCACCTGATCTGCCAGGCACTGAGTTGTTTTACTGCTGAGTATAGCAGACCTACCTGCTTCTTCTCTTTATGCTTTCATTTCTACCTTATATGCTTTCATATAAGGTAGAAATATGAAGAGTTTCTATTCATCAGAACAGAAAATTGACACCAATTTAAAAATCAAGGGAAGGGGAAGAAATGCTTTAATGTAATACGTAACTAATGCAGGTTGTAAGTACCAATTTCAACCCTAAATTGAAAAAATGCATAACAAGTTTCAAAAGAAGATTCATGGATAGTGCTAAAATTCACACTTTGGATTTGGAGTAAAATACTTTGAAGGATACATCAACTCATAAGCTTTGGCACATGACCCGACCTTTAATTCATGGCAGGTTGTTCTATAATAGTTTGCTGTATTATCTGTTGCTTTTTCCTCTAAAGTAGGTAGATTCTGAATATTGAGTTCATCAATTAGTGTTACGTTTCTCTCAGAAATTTCTGCATTTTCAAATAAAGTTGATTTATTTTTTTGTCATTTTAAACTTTCAAATGTTAGGCACTGAAATGTGAAATCTCCCTGTATTTGTCTGTAGTGCTGGTCAATGTTGTGCCTGAGGCTTTTATTTCTTCTTTATTTTTCTTTTTATTTAAGTCCCATACTTCTCTGGCCTTTATCTTTCTCCTTTTTCCTCTACTCCTCACCATACACTTTCTCTTTTTTTTTGTTTTGCACTCGGAAGAGAGGACCACCACTAACTGTTATAAAGTGTTTCAACTGCAAGACGTTGACAGGAAATGTAATAGTAAGAACCCTCCGCAGAGCAAGGAAGTCATAACTTCCTTCCTTTGGTTTTCCCTCCTCCAAAAAGACTGCCATCTAAAAGACCCACCCATGTCTCTGAGGTTTTGAGGTCCTGAAACACTTAGGTAATTGCTGTGGTTAAAAGTTGAGTTCCATTTAAAACATAATTTCAGTAATCGCATTGAAGGTTTGAATATTTGCTTTACTTTTTTATCATTTTTTATAACTGCTTATGTATCAGAAATTAACTTCTTTTCCTGAGTTTTATTCTCTTTAATAAGCATGGACTGCTGCTTGTATCTTCAGTGCTTCTGTCATGAGTCTGTTTAGTAACCACAATTGGAGAATAACATAGGCATATCCATATTGAATCAAAAGTATTTTATATTATAATTCTGATGTTTTAATGTAGTATATGTCATTTATAATATACTATAGAAAATTGAGTTATTGAAGTATGTAAATAAATTATTCAACAAAATAATTTCATGTATCTAAACAAAACTTAGGGGGAAAAAAGCAGCCCTTCCTCCCTGCTTTTATTTTGACTCAGATGCTGGTTTAGTAGGCTCAGATTTTTACTTTTTGATTTTCCTGCTTTTATTACTCAAGTCTGAGAAAATATGATGTTGCATGGCTTGTGCACTGCAAGGTCTTAATAGGTCAATTAAAGGGAGAATTAGCCTGCAGTATTGGCTTTATATTTGGATTGCTTGTCTTTTGATAGTTGAAGCTTATGAAGCTTCAACTATCAAAGTTGAAGCTATGTGATTATTACTGAATTTCTTTTTAGTTTTGAGCAAGGAGATGTTTCACAGAGAGCTAGGAATTGCTTTATTTTTGAGGTCTTCATAATTGAAATTGATAGTGCCAGAAGAAAACTGTTTCAGTTTAGACTAAAATTGGGAGAGTAGGAGAGGAGGAAGACAGAGAAGTGCCAAGTCTTGAGTCCCCAGAGCAAAGCTGTGGAAGATGTTGGAAGAGAATCCTAGCATCTTTCTTCCTTTCCTCAACTGTAAACCTTACATAGTCTTTCTTCTTTTTCTAGTTATGGGCATTGTTTTCCTTCTGCTTTATTGGACATTGCTGTTATTTTCTCCTTGTACTAATTTCCCCTAAACCTGTGGTATGATTATTAAAATTGAAAAATCCTGCAAACTATAAGCCATAAAGTTAAAAAGTTGAATTGGACGTATCTCACACAAAGTTCTTGGACCAGAACTGCAGGTGAAACTTCATGCTTGTGAGAGAAATAAACAAAATCTTCTTAGTAAGTTATGAAATAAGTTGTCAGATCAGTTTTAGTGAAATACAGTTTTGGAAAATCAAAATCTGAAGTTGTTTGATTTTTGTAGTATAGTTTGTAGTGTGTAATGAATGAAATTTCCATAGGATCAGAGTAGATGTACTGAGACTGTAGATACTGGTTTATCCCTTTACTGGATTGATATACAATTACAATGGGTTTTATTTTTAATTTGTATGTTTTTATAAAAAATCATAGAGCAAACATATATATGCATGTCTGCACATATGAACATATGCTGTTTGACAGTGGAGGGCTAAACATCTCAGGAAGGCTTAGAAGCAGAAGGCAACTTCTGTCTCCTGCTAAGCTGTGAAACAGAAAAGGAAAGTGTTTAGGTGAGCAAATGCAAGCAGCTTCTTCTGTACAGGGCAGTCTACTCATTGTGGGGAGTGAGAAATAAATGCTATTTCATTAATATCACTTGCTGTCTTCTAGTTATTTTTCTATGGTGTAGTTTAAGACAATTAGCTAAATAGGTCAGGATTAATTTCTGCATGTACTGCGTGTATATTTTGCATTTTCTCAGCCATGTATTTAGCCTTTTAACAGTATGAAATCTTTAAAATTCTCTGACTGCTGTCTGGGTATGCAGCAGGCAGTTTGCATTTATGATTACATGGAAAAGACATACCAAAGTTCAGCAAGCAAAATGTAACTGGAGAGGGAGGCCGTTTGAGCACATTGGATAATAAAAATAATTAAGGGTACTAAAAAGAATTATTTTGCATATTATGTATACATACGTATGTCTCTGTGTGTGTACACACACACACACACATATATGACAGTATCATTATATATAAGCAAAGCATGAAGATGTGGGTGTACAGCAGAGAATACCTGTATGTAGAGGACTGCCTCTCATAAATCCGTACTTCTCTGGACTCTATAATGGAGTCTATACTCCATTAGACTTACTGGTGGCCTTGCTATGTTGGTGATAAACAGTGAACATCTGCATATTTAGTAAGGGACAAAACAATTTTTACCAAACATAGATTGCAGTTTAGCATGGGAAGTAGGGGGTTGAATCTGTCATTTAGAATCTGATAGATGATTTCTGTCCTGGTATGGATTCAGTCTTTTTTTCTTTTTTGAGGAAAAGGTGTAGAATATTACAATAGAGAGTCCTTGTCTCTGAAAAAAAAAAAAAAAAATCAAAATACTTTACATGTTCTTTTTTTTTTTTAATCCATGAGCCTGTTTCTTCTCACTTCTTACTGTAACTTTTCCTTTTTTTATAAATCTGTCCTGTGATCAAAATTACTTTAAATTTTTTAAAAATAGTGGCTAATAATTGCACTCACAGAGCAAAATTTTAAAGTTTTTTATTTTTTCTTCTGTAGCCAGAAAGGCTCTTTGTGCACATGGAGGCTAACCCTTCACTGCCAGCTGTTCATCTCTTGTGCTGACTCTGTAGCTGAAGAAGGATACACATATTGGATAAAATATACCCGTTGTTAAAGTCAGATTGAAGTGGGATTTGAGTGTTGCTTGGCCAATAAAGAGAATGAATTTTATTCTTTCTGTAAGGATAATGATTTTCTACAGAGGAGAAACACGGTCTTGCCATTTCTCCACTGTCATTGCTTCCACCTCATTCCGCCTTCTGCTAATATGAAATCCACAAGTGTAAAGAGAGAATTAGCTTTCTTGGAGGCACATAAATGGGTGGAGCAAGATGGGAGCTCCTCACCAGGCACGCTGATTGATGCAGTCCCTGGCATATCTGTGGCAGCTCCAGGAGAGAACATCCCCTTTGGTAGAGGATCCCAGCAAGATGTGGTTTGGAACTTGCGAATAATTCAGGTGACAAATGTCCCTGCCATTGTCCTGGCTGGTGTCGAAGGAGAGGACGGGGCTAGGATATTCAGCAGCCACTCTCTGCACAACACTGCTGCTTGTAAACAAATACTGTCGTTTACTAATAATTACGTGCTCCTAGTTCAAGCAGTAGATGTGGTTATACTTGCATTGCAGCAACATGGCTTGTTTGCTGTAAGTTGATAAATACATGATCTCTGTATGTGGACATGCAGTGTTTGTGGTGCCTTTATACTTGTGCTCTGCCCTTGCCCTCACGCTGCATGTCATGTGAGGAAGGTCACTTCTGTAACTACCCGAGTTGCATGGAAGGCTGCGCTCTCTTTTTGTAACTCTCCTTTTTCATGTCCCTTTTAGCAAGACCAGTTTGTTGCACTGGGCATTGGCCCTCCTGTGACTGTAGAGAGGATATAATTCTGAATGATACAGGATGGAAGTTGTTGCCCTGATCCAGGATTCAAGAAGTGGTCAATTTGCTGTAATATCTCTTTAATACCCAAGAAACGTTGCTTTCTATGTTGTAATGTGCTCACTGTTAAAAACAAAACACAAAACAAACAAAAAACCCAGCCTCTGAGCTCAGCCTTCTCCTTTTACAGGCTTGGTGATGATGCCCTGTAAGTCAGGAAGTTCATTTCTGTAAAAGAGCAGCACATTTGTATTTCTCGTCTGTTCATTAGTGCGGATACAGATATCAACATCATCTCTTTAATCTGCCAGCTTGTTACCTGAATTGTGAACCACAAGCTTAATTCCAGAAGATCCAGTCTGAAATTTACATTCATAAAACTTCTTACATTGCTGGTCCAAAGACATCGCTATTAACACCTGATCGTCAATGATACCTGGTGCTTTACGAAAAAACATGGGAGAAAGTTCACAGCCTATAGACATCCAAAGTCTAAGTGCTTAAGGATCCAGAGAAGGACTAGGGAAGTAAATAAATAAGCTGAAGCAGAAGTGAGCTAAAAGCAGAACTTTAAAGGAGAGTTTCCGTAACCCCTTGAAAGAAGCAGCATATTGCAACGTACTTCAGCCCTGTACCAGAGTATAGCTTTTCCTTCTCCTAAACAGTTGAGTTCAGAAGCTAATATTACTTCTAGCAAATTTTGGACTTCATTTTTTAGAGCTGTTTCAGAAATAGTGGCTTTCTTAATTGGAGGAACAGGCAAATTGTTCTTGGAGGCAGTGTGGGGTTAAAATCCAGATCTCTGTGCTTTGACTACATAGAACAGAGAACTAGGACAAGATAAGTGAGAGCTTTAACTCAAAAATGCATGCCTTTTCAAGTTGGTTATCTGTAGCTATTTCCCTTCCCTCAGCTGTTTTCTTGGCCTCTCCCTCAGATGTTCCTGCTTGTCCTGCAAGGATGCCATATCAACTGACAAGGCAGCCACTGTACAGCTGTGCAAGCTAAAGCTAAAGAGTCTGCAGCATTTTACCTTAGTATGCTGGGCTGTTAATTTTATATTTGTTTCTAAATTAAAAGTGGGAAACTTGCTAAATAAATAAATAAAACCTGTAGCTAAATGAGCAGCTGTGTAGGAAGGAGACCGTCCTCTGCACATGTACTTCAGATAACAAAATCTTACCTGTTTCTGTATATCTGATAAATGCTGGCTTTCCTAAAAGCAGTCACAATCAGCTGTTGGAGAAAAGCAAGAAATGAAATTGTTAGAAGCAAAACTTTTTTTTTTTTTTTTTTAAATCTATCAGTTAAAATAATTAAAAGCTATTTTTTAAAAGTTCTACTGGTGTCTTTGTCCCTCCCAAGCTAGGATTTACCCCAGTTCCTCTGAATTTCATCGTGTAGCAGGCTGTTCATGGCAAAGGATAAATATGACTTGCTTGTCACTGAATCTGATACATCTCCTCCCGCCCTCTCCACCCTGCAGCAGAAATGATGGAGATTTAATTAGACCAAATCAAAACCAGCTTCCAGAAAAAAAAATATATTTAAAATAGTTTTCATAATCATGCAATGGTTTAAATTATATTTCTTAATTAATCTTTTTAATTGGAAAACATTTTAAACCTGTTTTTATTGGTCTTTTTGAAGGGCATTAGGACTTTTTAGTCTAATAGACAGTTTGTGGCCTCCAGTAGTGCCTGTAAAAGTTCCTGGACAAAGTCAAGACTCTGAAATGGTAAGTCTTGTTATTATGGAAATGTATTTTTTCACTCACAACTACTATTGTTGTTGGTAGTGTAATTGTGTTTACTTTGGGAATCAGATTCTCTCCCTCTCTTTAGCTACTCAGTTTTGTTTTACTGGTTCTGACAATCTCCTAGGCTAACCTGAAGCCCTCTGGATCAGCAGCATCTTTCCAAAATGATGCAGTTAGCGTCTTATTAATCCTCTAGAGCTAGAATGATAGGATGTCGGGACAAATTATTCCTCTCCTCTTCTTGGAGGGGGAATTCAGAAGCACTTTTCTGAAGATTAACTTCTGTAAGGATAGACTGACTGCTGAAATCGGGTCTCTTACTAGTTAGGATGATTTTGACTGGTATTTGTCTCATGTGAAGACAGTCAAGTGATGAGCACAAAAATAATCTACTAAAAAGTAATGAAAGTTTATTGTGATTTTAGGGGGTGGTGAAGTAATAGAATGGATTTAAAGTATGTTACTATATATTTGCCATTCTAAAAGTGCATCTTTATTTTTCCTTTAATTAGCTTTTGTACTTGAGAAGAAGTTCTGTCATAATCAACTGTCATTTTGGTAATAAGAGATCATTTGAGAAGTTTCTGGGTAACTAAGTGCTTGTGCTGTCCTGCTGTTCTTGTATAGCCGTTCTTTGGGGAAGAAGTTTGTGGCATTAAAACATTGTGTTAGAGGCTAGGGGAGTCAATCAGGATGCAAATTCTGGAAAAGAAGCTGGAAATAAACAAGTTTCAAAACCAAGGGATATTAAAGGTGGATGTTACTAGTTATTTCTAAAGTCTGAGAATCTTTTCTCTGCAATGTAGAGTGTTCTTCGCATTGTACAGGGGTTTATGTTGAAGAATAAAAAGTTCAGACCTTGGTCATATATAAAACCAATACTGAAACTGAGTGAAATGACTGTTCTCTCTTTGACTCTCCCTTTCATATAGACATTTCAGAAGTCACAGAGGAATGGATTGTTTTGTGCATTAAAATGCTGTGGACAACAGAATGGGAATATCCACAGATGGAGCAAAGTTCTTAAATGTTGTTTGGCTTTGTTATGACTCTCACTTATTCTTCATTTTCTCTATTTTATTAGCAATCTAAAAATGGAGGACACTTTCCATAATAATGTAGTTTACACTTCCATCATGGGTTTGAAATACTTATTCGTTCCACAGGGGATCAAGGCTTGCATTCTACTGCTGCAGGTTTTTGGCTGAGTGGAGTTTTTTCATTTGAGATACATTTTTCTTGATACAAACAGTATAGTTTTATGCACAGTTTTATGTAAACAGTTCTATACATAGGTACATAAATAATATTGCCAGCACACTGATAATATTGTTGGGAAGAGATTTCTTTTGAGCCATGTGTACATTCAAATACCTTCTTTTGTGCTGTCAGAGGCAAACAGAATTTGAGTTGATGTCTTTTGCCTTCTTTCCTCCTTATGAAGATTTTTTTTTTTTAATGGGTGGGCAGCTGTATTTAATAGATTCATATTTCTTTTATTAAATTAAATACTTCATTAACAACAAACGTCACTAGAAGACTATTTTACCATATCCGCAATAAAAAATATTTTCTATCATTGTCTTTTTTTTTCTGAGAAGCCTTTCTAGTTTGGGATGTCTTTAAGTGGTGATTGATAAAGTTGTTATGTCACAGTACTTTTTAAGGGGGAAAGAAAAATCTGGCATAACACAAAGACAGCAGTTCTTGTAGCTGTTGCATTCCTGTTCTTCATTATCTCCTTGTGCTGTCCTGGATTTAATTTTGTAGCTTTAAAAATTCGTCAGCTGTTTACTATCACACAAACCCACCCACATGCAAAAGTCCCCAAATCTCAGAAAAGTTATGGATGTTAAAAACAACAACAAAAAAGAATAATCAGGGCACTCCTACCACGCAATAAAAAAAACGCAAAAACAACAACAAGCACCTTGAACTAGTCACAGTGTTTGCCAAGGGTGCCAAATCATGACGTTTGTGATGATGATCAATATCAGGTTATGGAAAGAATGATACACACAAGCTGATTTCACTTATGACTTGTGAATGTTGGTTTATTAATTTAACTTCTACTTCAGAAAGTCATTGTTATTAACCATATAATTTTGTTTTCACATCCCTTTTAAAATGTAAACCGTGTTTGGCTATTATTATAAAACTCAACTGGCCAAACTGGAGTGCCTTTTTTAAGGTCACATTTCTTTTCCTTACTTTTTAATAGATGACAACTAATCTTCCTCCTCCCAGCTTCTGTTATATTCTTACTGGTCAGTCTGGTGAAATACATGTGGAAGTGGATGAAGAAGAACAGATTTCTAATTTGTACCAGCCACCAGTTGTTCATGATCTAAAGGATATTCTTCAGGTAATCTGCTTTACAAGTCAGATAACAAATGCTTTGTACCACTGGGTTTCTGGTATCATGTTTGTCTCATTCCCTGTTTTTGTACTATTTTCAGATCGATGGTTGTAATGAACGTTGTAGCTTTTGGGCGCAAGTGCTATATCTAAGGCTGCAGGTAATCTTTTCACTTAGCAATGAATTCAACATAAAATCAACATAATGTTTATGTGAAGAAGCCAGTGTTTATCTTGTTTAGAGGAAAACTCAAAACCTTCCTGGTTTATCCTCAGGAGTTGTATGAGCAGAGTTAACACTGGCTCTAAAATGCTTGTGAATGAGTAAATGGCATCTCCACTTTCAATAACATCCAGTCTAGAAAGTGGATTATTTCTGAATAAATTGCTATCTAACCAGAGGTAATATTTCACCCTTACAGGAAGTTCATTGAGACTTGGTTTATAGCTAAATACTATCCTTAGATACATTGCAAAAAGTTCCCAGTCAGTTGAGTGTCTGGGAATAGAATTTAACAGATGATGGTTATATAAAAATACAGTTTTGCTCTTTGCATGTGGACTATTTTTGCTGACTTCAATAGAAGCCCCTCAGGCAAATTTGGCTTTTATGGTCCAGTTAGTAGAAAGGAGGAACTCTTAGGTAAATACATCTGCCATCCATACTATGTTAGAAAGCTTATAATTATGTTTTATTTATTAATTTCTGAATGGTGCTACAATTTTCTTTCAAAATGTTGCTAACTCCCTCAGTAGTTAAAGGAAATTTTTGTTGCTGATTTATTTATTTTTTCCTGGCAACTGGATCCTCAGTACAGCCAGCACTGAATTCTAGTGGAGAATAATTTGCAATTGTCCATCAGCTCCGCAAGAAACAAAGTGTGAATCAAAGCATATGAACCAAAGACAAAGACATTCCAGAACGGCCAGCAAAATAGCTGGAGATGCTTCCCACCAGTATGAGACATAAATTCAATTTAGGTCTTGCCCTTTTGCTTCAGAAGCCAACGATGAGTTACGATTTGATTTTTGGGCAGGGAGTACTTTTAACTCCCAAGATGAGGAGTATCTCTTGTGTTTTCTCCATGCTAAGTGAGAATTTAACAGAGCATTTGCAAACATGAAATTGAAATTAGGGCTAGTGTGATGGGATCTCTAGGGTGCTAACAGAAAGGTGGACACATACATGCCTAAACTTCTATTTCCAAGAAACCTATTCTATTAAAAAATAAAATAAAATTACAGACTAGTGGTATCCTAGCCAAGTATTTTTGTATTCAGGAATGTCTACATCTGAGATGCTGTGGGCCATCAGTGCCTGATCTAGTGGTTGGCAACCCTGTCCACAGCAGGGAGGTTGGAACTAGATGATCTTTAAGGTCCTTTCCAACCCAAGCCCTTCTGTGATTCTATGATCAGTATTATTGTGTAGAAGCACTTCATCATTAAATTAGATAAAAGATGAAGCATGCAGGAACAGATGTGATTTTGAAGAATGGAAACTTAGCTAGCAGAAGAAAAGGTCTATGTTTTTTTCTTTCTACTAGGAGGTTTATTAGCTGTTTTTAAAATGGCTATTCACTTACTGAACTGTAAGCACTAAATTTTCATGAGTGAACAACATGAATGCTCATAATTTTTTTGAAAGTAATGTTGGAAAAGCAATAGAAGATATTCTTCTTCTGCATAACTTCTGGATAACTGCTGGATAATACTTCTGTTCAACTGCTCTGGGAGTCTAAAGGTATTTACCTGCTCTTAGTGTATTGCCTCATCCTCCCAGAAGGTCATGAACAGCAGCTTGTTTACTGCAGCTGCCTTTGCCAAGAGGACATATCCTTCACATGCAAAATCACCAAGTTGTAATGACTGAGGAAGGGACTATGACTTGGTTTATTTCGCAGACTTTTTATTATTAGATAATCTGCTACATGAGCTAATTCAACTGTGCTTTAAGAAATAGTATTTATTAGTGTAGGGACAGTATTCTGAGATACTTCATTTGTGTGAAGGAGGAATGGAAATATGCTTTTATTATTACGCAGAATCTGTACTGTGGTACAGAAGGAATATAAGGAAATATATTCCATCTGTGGTTAAGGAGCTGTCCTTCCTTATAACTCAATCCTGCTGCTATTTGTCTGTTGTGTCCTCTCTGTTCAGAACAAATTGTCACACATAGCAAGATGATGATTTTATACTAACTTGTGATTTTTTGCTGTTGTTATTATTATTTACTTTTTGGATGATTCTTCTGAAAGCCAACTTTTAATGTGTTAGTAATTCTCACGGGACAGCTGTAAAAATTCTGTCTTTGAAGCTGTCCTAATGCTATCTGTGCAGAGGAGGAACACAAATGTATGTAGTTACTAGGCAAAGAAACATCGTCAATGCAATAGGCAGCATATATTGTATTGAGGCATAACTGTAATATCTGAGTTATAAATGTTCCCAGTTTTTATTTACAATTACTACATTTGTTCTAAGAGCAGCTAGCATGAACATAAAGCTAATTTTAGTGTGGTTAACAGTTTCAAGCTTTGAATTCAATCGAAAGCAAAAAGTTGGGGTTCTCATTGCATTACCTGATGCTAGAGACATGCAACTTTGAGAATAAATATCACTTATGTGGTATGTGTCTCTCCAGTCATTGTAGTATTTAATTTTCATTTAAATACGAATTTTTAATCTGTAGACTAATTAAAAATAGTAACAAAAACTTTTTAAATTAGGAAAGTAATTTAATCTTAGTTAAGAATTTTAAAATATTGGAATCTTAAAATTTACAAGTTGCTTGGACTGGTAAATGTGAAGTACACTTTGTTATTAAACCCGTTTTTTCTGAAGTGTGGGAAAATACACATACAAACACAGCTATTATAGAAGCTGGGTTTTTTTTTAAAAAAAAGAGAGAAAAGCATGAATTGTCAAATTGTAACCCATCTGATTTTGTTAAGAGACCCTGGAATAAGCACTGGTGTGTATGTGATGTCTTTCTAGTCTCTCTTGTTCATCATCGCAGTATGAAAAATTTAAAAAACACTACTGTATTTTTTAAATAATCATCATATTGTCATAATTATTTTCAGATATGAAGGCTGAGATGAAATGTAGGTATTTTGTTTGTGACATCAGTGGTTGTGATATACCTTAATTTAGTCACATTTAGTCACAGGTATTTTTATACCTGTCTCAGGCAGAAAACTTACACTGTCATTGCGGATTCCTGGGTCTCTTACTTACGAGTTATCTACTTTCCTATTTCTATGCATCATTCAAATATTTAGAAATGTTTGTTCAACAGAAAGAAAAACCTCCAGCTTTGTAGCTTGCAATAGCTATTAGCCAAGGACTGGTGCTCTTGGGAATCAGATAACAGTACATGGAAAATTTGGTCACACAGGAACAATAGTAGTAGTAGCATTAGCTTTCTTTTTTTAAAGGCAACATGATATAAGCCTTTGTTCATAAAAACATCCATTAACTTTATATATGTATCATATTTATATTATATAAATATATAATCTATAGTATATATACCTTATATTTTTTAAATATATTTTTTTTTTCCAATCCCTATTGCAGTCCAAGTGAGTTATGATAAAGCATGACAGTTAATAAGAGGTAAAGCTAAGATTCCAGTGGATCAACCTCAGAAAGTGAATTTAGGGTATCAATGTTTGTATCTGCAGTAAGGAATAATGAAAAATTCCAATAAATCTTTGATTCATTATCATGGACAAGCCATAAATGTAGTAATTTCTGTCCATTTTATTAGTTATTTAAATATGAGGATGTTATTTTAGTCTTTCCTTCTACTAAAAATTAACAATTGCATTCCAATTTTGTATCTTTTTTTTTTTAAATTATAGACAAAACACAGTGTTCCTATAAATCAAAGAGAAATTTGGTTGTTTGTGACTGACTCCACATTGCAAGATGTGGTTCATATCACTCCAAAAGTTGTTGCTGTGTCAGTTGCTGCATCGTGTGTTCTCAGTACAGAAATCACGGAAGCCCTCGGTGTTGCCTCGCGACTCGTCTTCTTCAAGGATGCGCTGTGGGGAAATGGTAAGCTTTGTGTGTGGTTTTGAAGCCGTTGGAATCAAACTGAAATAGCCTCCCAATCTCTGACACTGTGATATGTGACCTGCATAGAGGGAGACATTCATCCTCAGATGAAGGTGGGACATCGCAAGTTTGGGAAGAAATTTTAGCAGGGTTGTAATTAGAGCTTTCCAGTAAGGTTTGTTTTTCCCATTTTTGGCTTGATCTCCAAAGTAAAGTAGAAATTCAGTACTATTCATCTATGTCCAACAATATTTCTGTCAGTCTTCCCTGATAGCTGTTGAATCTAATGACCAGTGTCAGTCAAATTTGCTAGCTGACAGAAGGCTCAAAGACTCGCAGTTGGACTAGATGATTGTTGTAAGACTCTTCCAACTGAAATAGTCTATTCTATTAAGAAACTAGGTTTCCTTTGGCTTTATATTCTTGCAAAAGCTTGTTTTATTGAATTTACTGCCTCTACAAGGAGTAAGAGGGTGAATCTAGAGACTTGCTTGTCCCTAGTCACAGAACTTTTACAGACTCTCCTATACCATTTTAGCTGTGAGCCTTCACCACATAAGGCTCATGTAAGGATGATAGTTAACTTTACATTCATTTTCAGTCGTTCTTTTTTGAGGTTCAGGTATGGTTCTGTATGGTGCCTGCATGTGTCATTGTCTCACACCTTCAGTCACTTCCAAAATGTAAGTGGACTGGAAGCACCAGCCTGTGTAAATGGTTGTGTGTCCCACAGCAAAAATCTCTGCTTCAGAGAATAAAGCATTGTGTTCACCTACTCTTTGTAGTCTTCAAAGCAAAGTAAGACCACCTGAAGGGGTGCCCAAGCTAATTACCAGGGACGAGATGGTAATGTTGGCAGGGAGCCTGGTGCAAGGCAGTCAGAGTGGAATTGGACTCTCTTCTGCCATATTCAAATTTTTTAAACATCTTTTTTCCCTGGGAGTTGCAAAGTGTAACGAAAGCATGATGCATGTATCACTGAAAGCAAAATATTTTGTCATTGAGAAAACCTGATGGAGTCTATCCATTTGCTTAGTAGCTGGCAGAGATCATTGTCTTTATTGGCCATGACAATTAACATGGTCACCTTTTTCCTTGTTACTGTACTGAGTTGAAATGTCTTTGTTGGCAGGTAGGATTATTTGTGTTGAACGTACTGTTCTCTTATTACAAAAGCCTCTTTTGTACTCGGCTGCCGGTGCTGACCTCAGTGAGCTGACTGGCCCTGTCAGACTCGATGAGCTGGATTCTACAACGCAGGCCAACTCCGTTTGTGCTGTAAGAGGTTTGTATGGCCTTTCCTGAAATGAATACGGTTAATTATTTGCACTCACTTTAATCTTTCAGGTCTTCGTATTGATTTCTTGCAGAAACAGCATAGAGGAATAAAAAAGCGCGGTGTTGCTGTGGGTCATTAGGATATTTAAAGTTCTGTACTTCTTTGTGGGCTCTGTTTGCCTATTGCTGGCCAACCTCTGCACCCACTCACTCATACCCCAGAATAAATGTTTGATGCACAATCTGTCTTATTATATTCCTTCCTTTGCCATCTTCTTTCAGGAGCCTTCTGTTCACACCAACCTTGTTGATGTTGGCAGCAGTAAGGTATACCAGTATTTTTCAGGCAGATGGATAAGGTATGTTAGCCAGATCCTGAATGGTAGGGCTTAGCGTCTGATTTCCCTGGAGCTTTGCTGCAGTGGGGCAATTTAATATTTCACCATAGTCATCTAGTATAACTTGGCCAATATTTGCTCACCAACCACTTTGGATCATTGCTTTGTCTAATATTTCAGTTCTGCCACTAACCATGCAGAAAAAATTTCTTACAATGTATTTTCTAACATTTCCTAATCATGCAGAAACATTTCCTACTGTGTATTTTCTAATGCTTCGTCCAGGCAGCTTCTTAAACCTTCCAGTAGTAGAGTGCCCATAGGGAAAAGTCCTTAAAAGCCCAATAACTCTTGGCTTTTAGAGACAATTTCCTTTCTTAATTTAACTCTTTTGATTTCAGTAGCCCTTGTAGAACATTCTTGATGCTGTTTTACATTTACCCCTTCAAGTACTCATTCACAAGCATGTGAAATGAGCTTTAAAATAATAGCAAATAATGGTTACAAATTAATCCTTCCAGCTATAATGTGATGCACTGAAAAGACAGTTTGAAACAATGCAAAGTTCTTACTAAGCATACCTTCTCTTATGGTGGAGCCACAAGTTAGCCATGCCTCTGTGATTAATAAATGAGCACCTTGAAGTGACAAATCTCGAACTCCAACACTGCATAATGAAAAACAAGCACTACTAGGGGCACTTCACTCAAAGCCTTGGTTGTTATGTACATCTAACATCAATATTGTGAATTACTTGAAAGATATTTCTGTCACTGGGTGTGAAAGACTTTTTGGCTTTTTTTTTTTTTTTAACTTGTCCAATAGTTATGCTAAGAGTTATTGCTTCTGCACTCTTAATTTTATAACTAAGTATGGGAAGTGTTCTTTTGTCCCATTGTCATTGTACGTAGTAGGATAAAGCAAACATTTATCTGTCCTTTCTTTTTGCAGTAAAGCAAAGAAAATACACCTCTGTGATCTACTGTGTAAACAAGTACTTACTTTACGCAGATGGGAGGTGTCATGCTCTCCCTGTTCTGTATTACAGATGTAAGAAGGACAAAAGGAGAAAGTAATCCTACAACCTTGTCTTGCTTTATTTGATATTTGTCCAGGGTTGCTGTTATCAGTATGTTCCCACACATTTGTAGCAATGTAGAATATAAAGTGTCTTCTTTATACCTATACTAATAATAGATATAGATAACTCTTGCTTTTATGTGTAACTAAAATTATTTAACAGCATTTAAGATATATATCCAGGGGTTTGGAATTAGTTTAGTTATTGCTTACATCTTTCTACTGAAGAAGTGAAACTAACAGCATTAACCCTACTTTGTTGGTGAGAGTATATGTATTTGACGGAGTAACCCATGAAGGAAAATTTTTCATCTCTAAAATTCACTTACTGTCTCTGTCTCATAACTCAGAGAGTTGTTAGTCTGTCTTTCAATGAGAAGCAGGATTACCACGTTCGTTCTTTTTCTTAGTGCCCTCCTTTCACTTCCTGTACTTCTGGTACCTACATATGCTGTATGCGGGCCTGCTCTCACCTAACAAAGAGGCTACAAAGGCTTTACTCTACCCCTCCTTGAAGTAGTACTCCTTCCTGCTCCTTTGCAGTCATGGCTGCTCTTCCTGGCTCTCAGTAATTCAGCAGGCTCAGCCCTCCCTAGAAAAATTTCTTTTTAACCAGTGCGAAGTGCAGGTGGTCATTCAAGTCCCCATCCGCAAACACAGCGATTGGTCACAGCGTCAGAGCACCAGCCATGCTGCCTGATGGATTTTAAGTAGCTCAGTCATTTTTGAAAGCTGTATAAATAAGGTAAGTTAGGGTGGAAGGAACCTCTGAAGTTCCTCCAACTGAGTTCTGAAGTCCAAACTCCTGGTCAAAGCTGAGTTCTGAGCAAGCTGGTACTGCTCTATAGCTGGCCCAGCTTTGAGCAGGAATTTGGGCTGGAGAAACTTCAGAGGTTCCTTCCCAATCAAAAAGGACAATGCTGCAGTCCAACCAGATCCACTGAGTTTATCAGAAATCCTTGTTTCAGGGAGGTCCAGATGTATCAGCTCTGGCATGGACCGTGTTGCTTTTTAACAGAAGAGTGAAAACCAGTGGTTGCTTTCTACTGGAAAGTTTATTCTTCTTTTAAAGATGAGTCTGTGGTTCTCACCTGTGAACTTAGGGTTAACATTTATTTTCTTATCACGATGCATTGCAAAGTAATTTCTAACCTCTTTTTGCTGTATAGTAGCAGTCAGGATGACTTAAATGTTGGCAGTTCATACTACACAGAACTGTTTTTCCTCTTAACCATGCTTATGAGCAAATTCTAGTTAGTCTGTATCACATGTGTTATGTGGGAATATTACTTGATTAATGATATTTGCCCAGTATATGACTCACCACCAGTGACTGAATTTTGACATTGCATATTTTTGTATCTGAACCCTTACTCCAGGTTGGGGTGGGGTTTTTTTCAGTTTCCTTCTTAACAGTGTGAACAAAATGGGGTCAATCAGCTTACCTAGGTTTCTCTTTTTGATTGAACTTTTCCCCTTCCTGTCCATTAATTAGGGTAACTGATTGGAAGAAAAAAATATACACATTCATTTTTTGAACATTTCAACCAGAGTGTTACTTTTAATCCTTAGCCCTTCTTTGCATTCCTCACCAGAGACCTGTTTTTCCAGGTGTTGTCCTGTTATCAGTCTTTTCTTAGTGATGTCAGCCACAACCCATAAAAATAGAGTAGACCTAAAAATCGAATTTTGGCTCTGTGCATTTCCATTTAAAAGGATCTCAGGAAAATATCCAGAAGGTTTGTGAACGTCAAGCAAAATCTAGAGTCTTGACAAAGATGTGCAGCAGTTCAACAGCTTAAACTTGAGAAACCACTTTGCATCCAGGGTGCGCAAGACTGACACTGGATTATTAGATCTGTTGCCACCTTCAGTTGTGTTTGTTCTGACTTCAGTGATTTCTGGTGATTTTCTCGAGGGAACTCTTATGTTGTCATCAAAATAAAGCTCTCCACTAGACAGAATCTGGTCAATATGATCCTGATTAATTTTCTTCACATGTACTTGTTTTACTTGAGCACTGGCATCCTGCAGTTGCAATTCAGCACACAACTGGGGGAAAGGTAAAAGGTTTAGAGAGAAACAGATCTGTCAGAAAAGGGGATTTTGTTTTGGTTTGGTTTTGTTTTTTAAATGATCTTTTAATGAAAAGGGAAACATATTCAGCAAACTAATTGGTAGCTTTTCTTTTCCATGAACAAGTCAAGTGTGCCTATGCTGTAGCAGGAAGCATCCTACCTTGTAGTAGCTGATGGAAACTCCCAGTTTATCACAAAAACTGAAGAATCAAAATTATTCTTGTAACAGTCCAAGGGGTTGAATGCACAGAATTGTCTATTCTGTCAGTGAAATCCATGTTGTTTCATTATATGCGTAGATATTGGGCCATAAATGATGTATTTCAAGAGCTTTCTGATCTTCAGACTTGCTGTCCTTTGAAATCCTAAAGGAAATTATGATTTTGTTGTTTATGCATAGCACCCTCCTTGCTGTCAGTCCTTGTCCCAGGAGAACCAGGAAAGCAAGGCATTAAGGCCCTGTTGTACAGACCAAGCATTGTACATGCTCCCTAGTCACCAAGAGTTTCTTTTATGGAATGGGGTATAAAACTGTGAGATTCTTGCTCAATAGCAACTGCAATTTTTAGTCTGGACTTCTGTTGTACCAGTGAGGGTTTATTTTAGTGTTATTTCATTCGTACAGGTGATGCACTTTGTACATCTCACAATACTTAGAAGTATTTTCTTCGTAAATAACGCTCATAATTTCAGCATATCATTACCGTGAAACATAATATACTCTTTATTGGTTTCTCATAGAACTCTGATTATATTTTTTTCTTGCCAAAACTAGCAAGGCCCTTTATATTAGTCCAAAGTATCTTTGGCATTCCCTTCTTAGGCACACACTTATATCTGTGGGCCAGATCTAATCTCTGTTAAATCAGTATAAATTAAGAATGACTCCATTGTTTATGGAATTTAACTGGCATCGCTGTTTTTGAAAGGGATTGGGTCTTCTCATTAGTTTGTCTTTCCTAAATATCGATATCAAACTATCTGACTGTATTATTTTTATAGCTATTTATTGCCAAGGAAACATCAGAGGACCAGAAAGAGAACAAACAACCAAAAACAAATTAGCAAAACAATAAAACCCAAACCAAAAGAACTGAACCTGTTTGGAAAGTTAATTATCGATTATTTTCAGCAAATACCTTCTGGTATTTTTAGAATATAACTCGCTATGCCAAACTGTCATCCCCTGTTGAAGGGACAAAGGAGAAAGGGAGTGAGGTTGTTGGCAGAGCTGATGCTTGCTCCGACAAGTCTTATTCTTAAAGCTGACAGTCGGAAAGGATCAAACCTGCTGTGAAGCCAGAAGTGACCGTGTTTGCTAGCTGACTGTTAGCATTTTGTAAGAATTTAATCTTCTGCAGGTACTGTTGTTGGAGTTAATGAGAGCACTGCTTTCTCCTGGCCTACATGTGACAGATGTGGCAGTGGAAAGTTGGAACTGTGTCCCCAGGACAGGTGAGAGTCAGCATGCTCCGGAGCACTCCAGGTGTTTTGCAGATGTAGCCATAACAGCAATAGGTGATGCAATGATTCCTGCAGGCACAGGCTGCACTTTGTTCCTTCCTAGAACTAAGACGTAGTATTTTTATTGCTGATGAACTGATAAAACCTGCAAGGTTAAATTAATTTATTAAGAAAGATACAAGTAGATATGAAATGGTTTGAATTTGCAGTTATCACTTTTTTTTTCTCCCCAAACTAATCTTAAAGTATTGTTTATAAAGATTTCATAGCCCACTGCCTTATAATATTAGTTTTAATAAACATCCACATAAATCACAGGTATGATTTTAAGCTCCTTTAAAAGTAGATTCTCGTGTTTGTCTTCCCTACCTTGTTCCCCTGTGTACCATTCACCTCCTTTTTGTATTGAACTCTTGATCTTTGCTGTAATTTACTGAAGAGTTCCATTTCAGACCTGGTTAAAGGTTAAATTTATAACCTTTCTAAAAAGGATGTTAAATAATTCTAGGAGTGTGACAGTCCCAAATGTGATCGTAAAAGACCTGTCACCGCCTGAAATGCTAAACCTGTGTCACACTGGCATGCTCTTGGAAAGCCTCCCCTCAGCTGCTTTGCCAGCTTGCTCTTGCAGAGTCTGAGGTAGCTGATGGGATAAACACGTGAGAGGGTAAGAGAGTAGTCAGTGTAAAAAGAAGGAAAGGGGTGTTATTTCTACTGGTAAAAATTACGAAAAGCATAAGGTAGGTTTGATCCCATTTAAATAGATAATGTTTTCCTCAATATGAGAAGCTTTACTGCTTGTGCTTTGTTATGTATAGCCTCTGGGGGAAAAAGGCTGAAATTAAGAAAAAAAAAGTTGTCCTATATTATAATATCATGCAAAAAAATAAGGATATGTGTACATTCACATAGTAGTGTAGTTCAATTTAAAAAAATCTCTGCCGTGAGGGACACTTTTGCTTCATTTGGAGAACAGTGTAGCATCAATATTTGTTTAAGATGTTATTCCAACAAGCACTTATAGCTGAGCTTAATTTTATGCATATGACTTAAGTGTGTGCTGAAAATGTTGAACGTTTGCTGAATGAGGGCCTAAATCAATAAGTCACTTGAGCCAAATCTATACTACAAATTTTCTTTTGCCATAACTTTTAGAAGGTTATGAGATTAATATTTGCTTAAGTGGGGTGACTATAAATAGCAACCTCTCCCCATGTTGCCAAAACTTACAAGAAGGAAGATCCTTTTGCTAGAAGAGTTTAGGTCCTCCAAGAGAGTAACTTAGCTCTAGCAACAGAAGAGTTGTATTTGCTATTACCAGCTGAATCTCTAACAGGGCTTTCCTACTAAACATCTACCAGTAAAGTATTTTAGAGAATAAGCTAGCTCGTTTTTCGTGTGTTTTGATTTACGACTGATAGCTTTTCCATCTCTCTCTGTTTTTCCATCATTATTTGCATGTTTCAGAGGGTTACTGTATTGCAACCAGTGCTCTGAAGTTGTCACTTCACCAGTTTTGAAAATGCAGCTGGAAGTCTTCTTGAGTTGTCCATCCCGATCACAAAGTACAGTAAAAGTAAAGGTATGGCACGAAATTAGCTTTGGGGTATTGAGTATAGTGAGGCTAGATATGTAGACACATAGGTGCTCATTATAAACAGCTCTGTTTGTTAGAAGGAAAAATAAAAGATCTAAGAGTGTCCCATAATTTAATCTGATACTAAACTAGTGTTTCATTGGACTAAGAACCCAGTTCCCTGATCTTGCTCAAATAATACAGTCGTTGAGTTCACCCTGAGCTCTGCAAACTGTTCTATGGTCCAGCTGAAGGGCTTTGTTGGTTTGGGCCTTGGGAAACCTCAGTCTCCACAGCCTAAAAGGAATGTGTATTTTTAAACTCCCATTCTGACCATTTTTTGAGTCACCTCTCCTCTGATTTCTTGGCCAGAGAAACAAAACAATTCTATATTAAAATGATAAATCTTTGTTCAACACGACTGTTTTAACCTGCAAATAAAACATCTTTGAATACATAAGATTTTTGTCAAGAACAAAACCTGCTCATTTTCTCATTCCAGCTGTTACAAAGGACAATCTCTTCCCTCCTGACGGCCTCCGCCAATGAGGATGGGGTAGGTGTAATGAATGTTGACGAAATAAAGTTAAACTACATAACTTACTGTAGAGGCAGAGTACAGGAGATGTGAATCAGGTGGGAAGATACTCAAATCATAGAAATGGAAGGGACTCTGGAGGTCATCGTCTGACCTACCACTCTCACTGGGCTTTTGCCAGCGCACGGGCAGGTCAGCTGTGACTTTGGCTGGCAGGGTCTTGAAAACCTCCAGGGATGGAGATTCTGCCTTTCCAGGCAGCTCATTTCAGAACTGCACTAGGAGCACTAGGAGATTTCACTAGAAATAATGATTTTTTTTTTTTCTCATGTCCAGCTCCCTTATGAGGAAAGGCTGAGGGAGCTGGGTCTCTTTAGCTTGGAGAAGAGGAGACTGAGGGGAGACCTCATTAATGTTTATAAATATGTTAAGGGCAAATGTCACGAGGATGGAGCCAGGCTCTTCTCGGTGATGCCCAACGATAGGACAAGGGGCAATGGGTGTAAGCTGGAACACAGGAGGTTCCGCTTAAACTTGAGAAGAAACTTCTTTACAGTGAGGGTGACAGAGCCCTGGAACAGGCTGCCCAGGGAGGTTGTGGAGTCTCCTTCTCTGGAGACATTCAAAACCCGCCTGGACGCCTTCCTGTGTGATCTCATTTAGGTGTTCCTGCTCCGGCAGGGGGATTGGACTAGATGATCTTTCGAGGTCCCTTCCAATCCCTGACATTCTGTGATTCTGTGATTTGAGTGGGCTGGACCCTTTGGCAATCCCACCCTGCACCTGCTGATGCCCTGCTATTGCCTGACTATCATCAGGCTGACACCCTCCTTTTTAGAAGAGGGGTGCCACAGAGGGGATGTGCAGGCAGCTTCAGCTCAGCCGCAGGTCTGCAGAGTTATCTGCAAATAGCACTGCGTCCAGACATTCAGAGCTGCGACGAGCAGTGCTGGGCTTTACTCCATTTTCTGGCTGAGGATGCAAAGACAAAGATCGAAGCATCGCACCTTTTCGGAATGGTCTTCTAAACCCTATAAACCTTGACTGCTTTCTAATAGCACAACCATGAAATTACTGTCAGGCAGCAATAGTAGAGGAACTTGCAAAGCGCGTGCAAGATAACACGTTATAACTGTATGAATGAAACACGCGGAAGCCACGAGGATCCACGGGCTAAAGTACAGTTTATGTAATCGTGAAGTAGTTATTCCTTTAATCGGGGATATCAGAAGAACCCTGACATTTGGCACAGTGACCCAGATTTATCACAGGTGAGGGAGGCACCGGGCAGGTGCCTGGCTGGCATTGGCTGCTGGATGGTCAGCAGTGAAGGAGCGGCACCTTCAGAGGCTGGTTAAGTCCCATGAGGATCCTGAGAGCCATCCCCCCATGGCACGTGGAAGGGGGCGAAGGTCAGCTCGTTGTCTTGTTTAGTCATCCCAGTTAAGTATCTTCAGTTAGGTGACACGTATTGGGGTCATTTTGCTTTCCCTATCTTATACAGTCTTCTAGCATTTTGCTATTACATGCGCCACAGTTTCAGTGGGATTTATGGTTAATTTTTAAAGTGAAACACTTCTCTGAAATTGTAAATTTCTTAGGCTGGGGAGTGTATATTTCATTTGAGCAAAGAGATACAAGAAATTTCCAAAATACGTTTGCTCTTTTAATAGCAGTTAAGTCTTGCTAAGTTTTACAGGATGTGCCTGGTTTGGTTACAGACACAAAACGTAGTTCTTTTTCGAGTTACTAGAATTCAACCTCTTTTTCATGTTTCAGTTTTTATGCTGCTGGTATTTAGAAGTCTGGCAACTTAGAAACATTTTTTTTTTCCCAGCTGAAATGCAGGGATAATTTTTTCTTTATTTTTCATAAGCATTTCCATCTCTGAACCACTGCATTTTAAAAAAGGGCACATCTCAACAAAGATAAATCACAAGAAATACACTTGAGGTGGCATTTTTTTGCCAGTGCTGCTTAAGTTTCTAAGGGTGTAGCTTTGTAATCACTTCTTTTGGCAGGGAGGCTGGTTTTAGCTGCCACTGGCCGCTTGTTCCTTACCTTGTGACAAGCCTTCTGTTAACACCAGTATAGCTGTTTGTCCAGCTGCATGGTGAATTGGACTGCAGAACCGGTCTGGGGTGAAAATAGTCTAGGGGAAAAAAAAGGTTGTTTATACCTTGAACCAGGCAAGAGACGTGGGCATCAAGTATCTTTGCAAAGGCACAGCCCAGATGAAAGCAGGGGGCATGGGCAGAGGCTGGTTGTAGGCAAGTCCCATTGAGGAAAGAAATGGACATCAGCCTGCCATCTGAGATAGGTACCTGCTTGGGCAAGGAATCGGCTATGGGTATTGCCAGCTCTTCTGTTAACGTGCTCTCTCATCTTAGAGGAGCCATCCCAGCCTCGCATCCCTCTCCTCCGCGCAGAATACAGTCTACAGATGCACTCAGGCACCACTGGTGTAGGTAAATTGCCAGTTGGATCATTAAGCAGAAGCGACTGTGAAGGTGCCAGTCCCTATAAACAAGGCGTGATACAACACCAAGTTAAAAGGAGGGAGGGGCAGGAGCAGGAGTAAAAAGAGTTACAAAATGTTTTTTCCTTTAGTGGATCTGTTAGCTAAGATAATCAATGTATGTATGGCATGTATGTACACATTGCTAGCACGTGTGAAATCCTGCAAGTGTCAGAAAGCTGGATAAAGGGAGCACGTGTAGGTTATGCTTCAGCAACATTGAGTTCAAAGTCACAGTAGCGCTTTTTTTTTTAACAGCTCATTTTTAAAAGCCTGCTAGGGAAGCAGCACTTTAAGCAGGAGTGAGATCTAATTATTGAAAATCTAAAATACTCATTATTTCTATCAGTTCTAATGCACTTTTCTTTTTGAGTCCTTAAAAAAAATTGTGTGTTGGAAGAGGACCTTACACCCTGCATCTTCCAAGCTGAATGCTGCTTAGAACAGAATGTCCAGGACTGTTTGTTTTAATCAACATGCTTTTATCACTGCAGAGTTATGAGGTGCAGAGCGTGCTGGGAAAGGAGGTGGGGTTCTTGAACTGCTACGTCCGCTCCATAATCAGCCACCCCAACTGCGTCGCGCTGGAGGAAATTGTTCTTCTGGAAGCAGCAGCAAGACACTGAACTCTAGTCAGCTACTGTAGTATCTGTGGACTTTGTAATGTGGTTATCTGTTAACTAGTGCCACAGATAATGTATAATGCCCATGTGATAAGTATTAAGATACTTCATTAAAACTGTGATTTACGAAGCACATTGTGCTAACACTGAAAAAAATCCATTTAAAAAAATCTGTGCAGCTTTCTGAACTCTTCTTTTTTGGATCACTTCAGAATTTAAGAATACAGTTCTTCGGCATGTTTGCTGTTTATGTGTGTAAAACAACTTGTTCTGGAAGTTTTGAATGGTTATGATTTTTTTTTTTACAATACTGTATTTATTATGGAAAATATTTTTCTGATATTTTTGAAATAAATACCTTGCTATAGGCAATGAACATTGGTCTAAGCTGAGTTTTATCGGCGGATTCCAGACGTTCGGCTGGCTGCACAGCACTGGATTGTGCGCGAATTCCGAGTTGTAACTTTTGTTGTCACCTTGCAATAAATGTTATGAAGATGGAGATTTGAACAAAGCTGATATTTTGAAGTGTCAAGCACATATGAAGTTAATGTTTTACAGCTAATTGGCCTCTACATATAGAAGTACCGTGTTATCTGTAGCTTCCCACAGAGCGGGTGTTTCATTATACAGTTTCTGCTACATGTAACGAGTAAACTGCTTTGTAGGCCTTGTAACCCTGGCCGTACAGAGGCATGGATTACAGCTCAGATAAATACCATCAAAATCTTCCTATGTGTGCGTTGTTTGAGATGCAAGAATTAATGCAAGAGTTCAGTCAGGGATTAGATTTTTTCCCCTTCCCCTTTTACGGTATTCAAAAACCCTTGCAGGTCGGAGAAGGAGGAGGAATGGTTTTGCGCAGGTCCAACATGGGATTACCCAGCAGAAAAGGAACAGCAAACTTTTTGCTACAGAAATCATTCCTGTGGCTGAAGACAATAGTGAAAAGTCTCACATATGTCATGATTACTACAGGAATGACCCAGCTTTTGAATCCCTTTTTCCCCCCTTCTCCAAGTCTTTCTGTCTCCTTACCTGCCTCCCTGTAAGGAAGAAGGGGACGTCAGCCCATTCCTGCGCTCAGGCTGCTGCCCCTTACGCGACCGGGGTGGCCCCTTGGAAGCCAGCAAGGTCCCTCTCAGACAGCACTGGCTCTGGGAGATCCTTGTCCTCTCAGGACATTTTTCTGCCAGTGCCCTGCAGAAGCTGTCATCTTTGGGTGCACACCGTCAAAATTCAGACAAGTAGCCTGGCCCTTGTGATACATCCACGAACTCAGAGATCGGTGGTGCTGCCGGCTCTCACTTTCACTGGCAGTGAGCAGTCAAAGTGGCCCTGCTGGAGCTGCGGTAGCCTACAGCCGACTGACCTGCGTGTTCGTGTGCATTCGTGTGCGCGTGGAGCGACATCTCCTTTGGGGCTGCAGCTGGCTCAGGCTGGGGAGCACCTTCGTGTTGCTGGAGCTTTGCCTTGTCCAGTGTGGAGACTGCCTGGAGGTTTGTTAACAGGAATTTTAAACAACAATGTTCTTGTATTCGTGTGTGTGT